CCACTGCCCGACATGGTTGACAGTCTTTTGTGGTGTTTCGTGTGTGTGTGTGTGTGTGTGTGTGTGTGTGTGTGTGTGTGTGTGTATTATATATTTGGTTTGATAAGGTTGTTTTCACTCTATATAACTGCCTTTTCTGATTTATTTAGAAGCATTTACCTGTGTGAGCAATAGCTAGCTCATAACTCATAACTGCAGATGGTTTTGTAAAACAAATTCTGATCACAGATAAGTTAATTATGCTATGAAATATTGATAAGAATGTCGGCGGGGTCACCACTCTTTGAGCTAGGTGTTTTAATGTGCGCCTAGCACATCTCACTGTCAGGTCTGTCTGTGCCGTGATGCTGCGGCTGTCACTCCAGCTCAGCCAGCCGCAGAAGTCCAGTCTAGAGTTGAGGCGACTGGGGCTTGTGTTTGTAAGGTCCGCTCATCGTAATAAGGTCTCAGACTGCCCATAATGACTGAGTTGTCTAAGGGTATATACCATTGAGTAGTATACTCTTGTACACAGTGACAAGATAAAATGAAGCCTTTCTTTGTAATAAGGAGTAAGTTATACTTGCTTTGTTGACCTAAAGTTTTAGAGGATAATTTAAAAAAAATAAAATTGCTTTATTGAACTGAACTCATAAATAAAAACATCACATAATTAGGTTAAGGTATCTGCTCTAACAAACACTTGCCTAGTAGTAAGTTCTAGTAAGTAAAGCTTATTTATCATATCAAAATAAAAGCGAAAGCAGTACGGGGTTTTATGTAGTATGTACAATATGAAATACAGCAGTGTTCAGAGTTTCTATCAGAATACTCTGGTCTTCCCTGTCGCTCCCGGGAGTCTCGCTTCCTGAGGGAGCATCTGAACCCCGAAAGAAAGCTCTTAAACTGCTGCGTTCCAACTTGAGACTCAGTGACCTGCAGAGAGAGATACCGGGTCTTAGTCATGGTTTTGTGTTTTTGACGGTTCTATAATGATTATGATGAGACACTATGAGGTCCACTATTGTAGTTCATTAAACTAGAGAGAAAGATTAATTAGGAAGAAAAGGGAAGAAAAGAAAGAGGATTCATTAAATGGGTTCATTTAAGCACAAGCAGTGCTTTCCCTTGTCCCACACAGATCTTTAGAGTAACTCAGTTCCATAATTAAAGCAGTTGCTATTTTTCCTGTTGTTTTAATTGAATAAACTTAAACTTTCAGATGGGAGACAGTGACCGACACAACATGGTGCCCGTTGACGTCAAATTCAGTGTCCCCGTAACAATCTGCCACTTGTAAAGACTCATTCTTCAGCTAAGCCCAGATAGCCCAAGTCTGTGTGATAAATATTCTCACCCCACCCCTTTCAAAAATGAGGATTAAATGCAGCCCTGATGTGTGCTGGGCGGCCGCTGTACTGTACCTCTCAGCCACATTCCCAGACCGCTGCGTGACATGTTATCACAAAAGATTTTGACTTTTTGTTTGTTGGTTGATTTAATTTTGTTTTGTTTTTCAAGACAGGATTTCTCTGTGTAGCCCGGGCTGCCTTGGAACTCCCTCTTTAGATAAAGCTGGCCTTGAACTCAGAGATCCACCAGCTTCTGCGCTGTGACCCGGCCGGGGGGGGGGGGCCGGCCGCGATAATCTAAACATCAGTGGTGATCAGTTTTATTTAGGAAGTATGATATATTTGTATAAGATTTAAGATTCTCCTTTCTGAACTCTCTCACCAGCCCTTATAACCACCCTGTCTGAGGGAAGCGGGGATCACAGGGGAAGAGCTGTCTGTGAGGTATGGGAAGGGCTGGGCCTGAGGGTCACAGGGGAAGAGCTGTCTGTGAGGTATGGGAAGGGCTGGGCCTGGCTGTGCCCCGAGTACTGTAGCAGGTCCTCCTTCAGTTTCACTTGGCATGTTGACTTGCCCCATACTTTGGAGCCGTACTGAATTGATGTGTGCGATGCATGTATTCATCATTTTAATAAGTTGTATTGTACTAATAGTGGACGAAATCTCAGAAAGCATTTAAATTATGAGCTTATTAGAATTGCTTTGTCTTTGTACAGGCAAACAAAAATCTGAATAATTTCATTTGACACAAAAGGCATTTGTGCTTTTGGTATTGAAACAAAATATGGCCTGTCTTGAGATGTATAATTAGTGCACTCAGCACTGCGACCCTCATATCTGAAGTCAGAGCTAGAGCAATTGGGCTGGAATATTTGGCTTTCTCTCTTCACTCTCTGCCTGTTTTAGTCACTTCTTCTTTTAATCTAGAATTGACTGAAATCGAAAATTTAATCCTACAAAACCAGTAGGAAATATAACTACAGTAAAGCAGAAAAAAATATGTACTTGGGTACTTTCTATTGCATTTCCAGAGAACATCATAAAAATATGGTACATTTAAGAAACATCTGGGAAAACTTTCAGCTTATTATTAAACCTTTACTTTTGCTTGCTCATTGGCAAATTGGGTTAAAATTAAACTCAATTAAATTGTTAAATAAATTAAACTACTGTTAAACAGTGATAATGCCTTATATAATTGGAAAGACTGTAGATCTTTTCTATAAAGATTCTAGTTTTTTCTAAGCATTTTTTAGAAATTAAGTTTTCCTGTGCATAAACTTGGCTAATATGTTTCTTTTGCCTTATTAATAGGTACTCTTTCAGCCTTTGGATGAACTTTGTTAATTACACTTCTTGTCCCTATGACAGTCTACCGTAAGTGCCCAATTGTCAAATGAAAAGTCATTTGTTACATCACAATCTGTTATCCCAACACTTGGGAGAGGAAGACAAGATAATCAGAAGTCATCCTCAATTAAGTACAGAGTTAGAAGCCAGCCTAATGAGATCTTATCTCAGAGAAACAAACAGGAAGGAAAGTAACAACAATAAATAATAATAATAGCTTCTAGATCTTCATTAGTTTCAGCATCTCAGACTAGATTGGATTTTTCTTGGGAATATATTCCATTCTCTTGGTTTATGTTTTGGCTTGTGTTCTGGACTTTGGGAATTGTTGTTTGAATAGGAAGCGGCACTGTTTGAAAAGGTTAGGAGGGTTAGGAGGCATGGCTTTGTTGGAGGAAGTGTGCCACTGAGGGTGGGCACTGCCAGGCCCTGTAACACATATTCTAATTGGTTTTAACAAATAAAAACCCAGAGTCAGATATTAGGGGGTGAAAACCAAGAGGTCAGAGAAGCAGAGCAGCCAGATCCTGGGAGACCTTTTACTTCTACCAGTGTGATGTAGTGTGTGTGTGTGTGTGTGTGTGTGTGTGTGTGTGTGTGTGTGTGTTGTGCATGTGCTGCCCACATGCCTGTGTACAAATATATCCATGGAGATGGAGAGGAGACAGGCAGATGGACTTTCATTTCTCTTTCCGTGTAAAACATCCTTATTGTCCAGGTGACCCCGAGGCCCTGCTGGGCCATAGTCATACCAGCCAGGTTTGCAGTAGTTTTTTTTTTTAAATCTCTTTAAAAATACAATACAAAACAAAACAAAAAACAATTCTCCCAGAGAATGTTCAGTAAAATTTTTTTCCAGTGTTATCAAACTCGGAGTCTTGCTAATGAATTTCTTAATTGCATTTTTTGATTCAAGTCTGTAGATTAAACATACATGTATACACGCTTTTATAATTAGTTGTTCATTGTGGTTTTGGTAACCGCAGTGTGCGTGTGACAGCTAGGTTCAGGTATCAGTGTTAAAACACATGTACAGGGCGCTGGAGAGATGGCTCAGAGGTTAAGAGCACTGGCTGCTCTTCCAGAGGTCCTGAGTTCAATTCCCAGCAACCACATGGTGGCTCAAACTATTTGTAATGAGATCTGGCGCCCTCTCCTTGACTGTAGGCATAAAAGCAGACAAATACTGTATACGTAATAAATACATAAAAATTAAAAAAAAACCCACATGTACCTCGGGAGAACTGAGTCCGTCTCTGACAATACTAATGCAGTGCCGTTATTTTGGTGACTGTCATTGTTAAACCGAGGCACATGTAACTTCTACAGACATGGTGACTAAGATGGAGAAGGAAAGGTTGCTGATCCTCTCCTGCGGGTCAGACAAACTTTCTTTACTTTGAAGGTTTTAAAACTTTAGAGTTGGAGAAAATATTTTGAAGATTCTTTATATGAGAGTCTCACATTAACTTGACAGAGAAACTAAAGGCACCACTGAAGCTCAATTGTGCTAACAGAAATATTCTATTATTGTTTAATCTGAAAAGGTGCACTTTATACGGTTATAAAATTCAGGAGTATGTTTTTAACTGTCATTTTGCTTATAGAATGAAAAGTTATAGAATAAAGCTTCAATTCTGGTACACATATTAAAGTTTTTTGTTATATTCAAAAAACTTTTCAAGGCCAAGTGTGATGGTGTAAGCCTTTAATCCCAGCACTCAGGAGGCAGAGGCAGGTGGATCTCTGTGAGTTCGAGACCAGCCTGGTCTACAGAGCAAGTTTCAGGACAGACAGGGCTGTTATACAGAGAAATCCTGTCTTGAAAACAAACAAACAAACCTTTTCCTGTAGACAGAAGCTCACTTTAAAGCCCATTAAATTGGACAGGCAGACCCTGTGTGTAAGTTACACACCAGGCATGACTTTCTGCCGTGTTTCTTCCATTGTGAATGGCAGTCTCTCATAATCCTAAGGGTCAAGCCTGGCTCTCTGCCGTGTTTCTTCCATTGTGAGTGGTCGTCATAATCCTAAGGGGTAGGATGATGCTCCCTGGTACTTATCGTGTGTAATTTTTCTAAATCAGGGAATTTATATTGAGTGCAGTGAAAGCAGCCAGGTGCATTTTTTTATTGTATTGTCATTGTGTTGAATATTTATACACATATAAAACATTCAAAACTTATATACATAATATATCAAGTTATAAAAATATTAGACTGGTAGGTAATAAATGTATGTGAATACAGTCTTAAAAACATACCTTTTATAGTTTGGTATTAGTATGACTTACTTTAATTTTTTTTAAAAAAAATTTAGGAATCTGACATGGCTCAAGAGTCTCCCAAAAATTCTGCCGCAGAGATTCCAGTAACTAGTAATGGAGAAGTGGATGACTCCCATGACCATGGCTACCACAGGGTAAGAACACTTTACTTTCTGTTAACACAAAGAATCAAGACAAGGTTTTGCCAATTACCCGAGTTTGTTATAAGGAATACTGGGTAGTCTGTGACATTGATTTGCCAAGGCTAAACTCCAGGGCCGTAAGCTTTGCTATTTAGCTTAGTAATAGGCAACATAAAAACAAAATTATTAACTAAACTTTTATGTCATTAACCAGCATGACAGTATATCTTACAATTTTGGCATATAATTTTATATAGCTTTTTTACTTTTCATAAGAAAAATGCTAGAGTAGTATTTTATCTTTTTAAATATTTATAAATATTAATATATCCTCTTGAAATTTAGCATCATCTAATGCTTTTTTTAAAAAAAAATACATAATTCTTAAGTAACTGTTCCTGATTTTGCTGTTGTTTTAGTTAGGGTAATTGAAGGAAGACTCATATTCTGAGCATACAGTGAAATCTTTTACCTCCAAGATAAACGTGAACAGTAAGGAATCTCGAGTTACTGTCATCATCTGCTATATTTTACCTTAAAAGTATCTATTAGTTCAAATACTCATTGTAACAAAATTTCAATAATTTTTCTAAATTTTGATAATTATTTTAGCACATTTATTCTATGAATATTTATTAAGTAACTTCTATGTAACACACAAGGTACTGTAAATACAGTAGTGAAAAAATACTACCAGAGAATTGACATCCTAGAAGACTCCCTGAAGGTGAACCCATCACAGAACTTGGGAGCAGATGTAGGAGGATTGCTGCAGGTTCTAAACTAACATCCTCGTAGTAAGTATAGGCTAGCCAGGGCTGCAGAGTAAGGTTCGGCCTCAACACAAGCAAACAGCAGAACTATCTAACGAAAGCTGAAGACATGTATGCAATGAAAGTATACTATATACGAAGTATGTTACCTCAGCGGTGGAGTTATGTGCTCAACAGCCACGAGTCCTTGAGTTCCATCCTCAGTGCAAAAAGTAAAATTAAAATTTGAATTTTTTGGTGCATGTTTTTAATCCCAGCACTCAGGAGGCAGAGGCAGGCAGATCTCTGTGAGTTCAAGGCCAGCCTGGTCTACAGAGTGAGTTTCAGGACAGCCAGGGCAACACAGAGAAACCTGTCTTGGGGGGACAATTGAAGTTAGGTTCAGTGTTGGAAAAGTCCCTGTCTTCAGCCTATTCTTTTTCTTAAAATTCCTTCTCATTAGAATGTGGCTTATACACGAGAATGAAGCCCCAGTGTGAAGTGTACGGTGCTGTGAACCACCACTGAGCAGAGATCCACGTTTATGGTTATTCCCTTGCTCACTTTCGTTCCTTGTTAGGGTTTGCTGAAGACAACGGTATATAGGCTGAGTATTTCCAGGGACTCGGACCACGCCCTCATTCAGTGACTGTTGCTAGGCAGTAAGCCTTCTCCTTTCCAGGGTAACCACCACTAACGTAAATCTGTGTAGATTGTTCTAGTTAGTTAGTTAGTTTGTTTGTTTGTTTGCATGCTGTTTTGAGACAGGGTTTTCTTATGTAACCTAGGCTGTCCTCAAACTTGTGACCCCCCGCCTTAGTCCCCCAAATACAAGACATACAAGCATGCCAAACGTCCCTTTTTATTATCGGTTTGGGTTTTGTGAACTTACTTTCACAAACATCTGTGAGACTCATTTATATTGTTGCTTATAGCAGTATTTTGTTCTTTTCATTGTCGTATATTTTTTGTGTGTACTCTGATTTTGGCTGGCGTAAAGCTAGGGTGTGTCTAGTCCTTGTCTGTATTGAATACAGCTGCCTTTCCCGTGGCTTACAGATCATTCTTGTTGTACATGGTGGACTGTCTGAAGAATAAGTGAAGTGCACAGATGTTTGACAAGCTGTTGAGCCAGTTGGCGGTTTCACTGGCCATGATGAGATTCTGGTGTCAGGGTCTGAGCTCGCTCTTGGCATTTGATGAGTAATTCCACGTTAGCCGCTCTCACAGAGCTGGAGTGATAACCTGTCATGCATTTCTCCGATTGATGATGTTGAGCAGTTGGACATGCCATTAGGATATTGTCTTTTGTGAAGTGACGTTTCTAGTTAGTTGGGTGTGAACCTTTTTCTAAGTGATTAGTAGAAAATTTTTCCTGGGTCTAAGTTCCCTGTTTGGATATACATATTACAGACAGTCGCTTCCTTCCGCCTCAGGCTCTTGTATTCCATAAATGGTATCTTTTATTTTTTTAAAGTGTTATATATTTTACAAGACAGTGGCTTTCATTGGATTATTTTATATGTAAATATAATGTATTTTGGTCATATTCACCCTAGTGGTATCTTAATGAACAAGGCTACTGAATATAGGCCGGGTTGGCCTCAAACTTGTGGTCATCCTGTTCAGTTTTAACGGGTGTACACCACCCCCTGCCAGAAGCTGGTAATTTTAATAAGTATAATTTATCAGTCTTTCCTTTAGTGTCCAATTTCAGCAATCTAGTATCATGGTCAAACTTTCTTTTCTAAGCTGTATTTTGCTTCTCATGCTTAGGTGTGTGGTTTTCCTTGATTAATGTTAACTTTGAGTGTGAAGTGAAATTGAAGTCATGGTTTGTGTCTTGTACCGTAAGTTCCAGTCTTAATAATAAAAACCCAGCGTCAGATATTAGGAGGTGAAAGCTGAAAGATCAGAGAAGTAGAGCAACAGCCGCTAGAGTTTTTACTTCTACAAAATCTCCAGCCCAAAAAGAGGCCATGCTCCTGGCTCCTCCCGCCTTATATTCCTCTCTCCACCCAGCCATATCACTTCCTGTCTGTCTGTACAGACCTCCAGATGTCTATGGTTAACTAGTGGCTGGCTCCACCCTCTGATCTTCAGGCAAGCTCTGTTTGTGAGAGTACAACAAGATATCGCCTCAGTTTCCCTCCTGCTGAATTAATGTTATACAATTACTCTAGCACTATTTGCTAAAATTAGACTTTTTTCTTTCTATGGAAAATGAAGCTGGTTTGGAAGTTTACGCCTTTAATCCTAGCAGTTGGAAGGTTGAGCTAGGAAGATTGCTACAGAAAGACAGCCCGGGCTGTAGAGTCAGACTGTCTGAAACAAAACACAAAGTGAGCGGCATCTCTCTTGTTGTCATTTAAACCTCCAGACACAGAAAAAGAGCAGGAGGGTGGGTAGAGAGAGTGAGCAGGTGCTGGGCAGGGTGGCAGGTGTAGAGTTTGAGGATTCCGAAGACATACGCTAGAGTTAGGGCATTTTAGGACGCGCACATGCGCACACTCATGCAGCTAAGGAAGGTGGTAGTGTTATTTAGTTATTTCACAGTGCTTATGGAGCAAAACATGCACACTACAGTTTATCATACACAGTTTTATAAACGATGTATTTATAAATCTGATTTTATGTGGTACTTTATGCTTTTAAATATATACTAAATATATTTTAAATATATGCTAAATAAAGTATTATAAAATTTTAAATAGTTAGGGTACTCTTCTTTCACGATGGGCTCTTGTTATTAATATTTATCTAGGTCATTTATGTGGCTCTGGCTTTGAACTCTTGCTTTATTTCTTGATCTGTCCTGAAAACAGCACCGTACTCTCTCACTGTGATAAAGATGACGGGTAAAACTACCCGCCCCAGCCTGGGTGTCGGCAGCTCCGCTCCAGGGTCCCTCCGCTCCAGGGTCCCTCCGCTCCAGGGTCCCTCCTCAGGGTTGCTTTGCACAATCAACCCTTTAATGGCTCTTATGAGTCTTGCCTTTGAGTAGTGCTGAGGAAGCACTTTGCTTGTGCAACCAAAGCAAGTAACTTGCTGATTTGAAAGTTACTCTTTGTTAATATCAAATTCTCCATAGGGTATTGCCCTATGATGTTATTTCACTTCATTTTAGAAGGCAGAGAAAGGAAAAAGATGTTTGTCTTGGAGACCTTTCCATATTGGGTGTGAACTTTTACTAGTGGTGATGCCCCTGGAGAAGCAATAATATATACTTAAATCAGTGCATCCTACCTCGTGCCATAAAGAAACTCGGCACCATAATGCTTATTTCTGTTTGTACCTGCTCTTAGTGAAGATGCGTGTGTCATGTGTGGTGATTTGACTGTAATTGGCCCTCATAATCTCATAGGAAGACCATTATTAGGAGGTATGGCTTTGTTGGAATGGGTACGGCCTTGTTGAAGGAAGTGTGTCACTCTTCCTTGTGTATGAATGGGCTATGAGATTTCCCAGTGTCTCAGCTGACTTCCTGTTGCCTGCAAGATGTAGACTTTCAGCTCTTCCTCCCTCCAGCACCACACACTGCCATGCTCCCCACCATGATGATAATGGTACCTCTGAAGCTGTAAGCGAGTCCCCTCAACTAAATGTTTTCCTTGTAAGAGTTGCCGTGGACATGGTGTCTCTTCACAGCAATAGAAACCCTGAGGCGATGGGTCTCTTACATATTTGATGTCCTTTCATTAAAGTTAACCTTAGTTGTGTGCCTTTCCCCAAGAGCAGAAACAATATTTCAAAAGCATCTTTTGACTGTGTCCAGTGTATCTATATGCAAAATCTATTAGGCATATATTAACCTAAGTATTATGTCACTTTCTCATTTAATTTTCCTTGTTAGTGAACAGGAAATTGTGTTTAACCTCAAATCTTTTCTTTTAATAAAGATAAAATTCTACAGAGAAAGTAAATGTCAACTGTATTGACTGGTGTTAGACTATATATGTTTATAAGATAGTAAAACAATCTCGTGTGTCTGGATTCCTAAAAAGAAATTTCAGAGATACATGTGTACTTTTTCCTTCAAGTCTGTTAATTTAGAACCTCATCGTGCCTTTACATAACAAAGGCTCACCTGACCAAGTGATAACTTACTGAGCTGCAATGATTTATTTGGCCAGCAGGTGTCACTGTGGCACAAGCAATGAAATTGTCAACGCTCAACTATAGATCATCAGCATTGGTGTTTGTGATTTTCTTCTGACAAGGACCTTGGCCTGCTCTGAGAGTCCACCCTCCACATCCGCA